ATATATATATATATATATATATATATATATATATATATATCCACAGATTAACGCATTATCTAGTCTACCGGAAAGTCAAAAGTAGCCGAAGACAATAGTCGCACCTGGATTTTTCGTTTATGCAAACCCGATCTCTGGTGCTAATTTAGAGCGATTCGACAAAGCTGAGGAGCTCCGATGAACCCTCGTTTGACCATATGGCACACTACATTTAATCCTGAAAACGATACGAAAGTTGACGAAAAAATTATGTAATCTGCAATTAGTTGTCGTTCTGATCGAATTTTGTCTTATTTGGGCTGTACATCAGCATCTCGTGTAAGCAACAAAATGGCGAAGACCTCTAACCGGACTGATACCTCGACAGTTGACACACCTGGTTTCATCGGCCTTATGCAACAGCAGCGAGGCGAAATTACACCTGCCTCTTAGAGGTGGTGTTTTTGTAGATGGAGCAAATGGTTTTTGCACAGGCAATCTTGTTTAGTTGCATTACTTAGCACGGCCCGAATATTTTGGGGTGAACTTCTATGATCTTACTTGTTTGATGATGGTTCTGTACGCTGTGTTGTGCTTCGAGACCATACTTTCCATGGTCCGATCTGAATTCAGTGACGAAGATCCCGTCCCAACTTGTTCGGTTTGATTTACTTTGAGTACTAGTTCAGTAGGTGTTTTCTCGGACGCCATGGTTGAGTGTGGATAACTGGTAATAGATTAGAGCTCGCAAATCTCACTAGACAGTCATGCTTGTCGCAGTGATGTTCGCAAGCACGTGGCAACTAAGTGGATCCGGTAGTGCAATGGAATTTGGATCGAGATGATCACGCTACTAGGATCCAAAAGTATTCTCGTGTTACAGCGAACTTTTCTCTAACCAAGGTCTGAAATGGAAAATAGTACTTCCTCTGATAGATGGTTGTCGGGCATACGGTTTACATAACCCAACCATCTCTTCCTGACAGACCGTATCCGTCTCTGAGACGAATCCAATCCATTTAGTACTTGCTTGTGGACCGTTTTGTTACGTACATGCAGAGATCAGTTAACGCCTGATACACCTTGGATACATAACCACGGTTCTGCATTCGCATTCGACCATCTGACTTCTTGAATGCTGTAAAAGTTCGTTGAATATGAGTCTTGAGTAATTTTGCGGTCAATCCCACTTTCGTTGCCAGTTTGGATAACGGCATATCGCTCTTCTTCTTCAGATATTCTCGGTGGCACTGCAAACTTATCCATCGGATCGGTTGCTCCAGTGTTTCGTTGAGTTTGTTCGCCGACCGCTCTCGAGACTTAACCCTTTTCAGATGATTAGATCCGTAAGTTATCCAACTCCAGGTTGTTCATTTATACATTCAGGTTTTGACAATCCAGCTGTACTCCATCGAACAGCGGATGAATTTCATCCTTATGCTCGCAGATTGGGACTTGTTCGATCGGGTGAGTGGTGCCTATTTTGTCGGCCATTCTTAATTTTCCATTTCTCCGAAAATTTCTCACTTCCCACCCGTGTTTTCCCAGTCTTTTTCCGGAAGAGGTAATTTTCTGGTTGATCTCTTCAATTGATCCCTCTATAGAGGGGAATGTTAAAACAATTACGACTATGACAAATCTCACGAACTTTGTGGTCGTGTCGTAGTGACCTTTTTGAAAAATCGATTCCACAGCGTACAAATTTACACTTGCGATCGAAGCAGCTCTATCAGATAGCTCCGCAGTTCAATGGTAGGGCGAGGACATGGCTATAATGACGAAAGCATATATCGCGTCGGCACACACTACTATTGATAGTCAGTAGTTATATCTGCTTTTAAAGGAGGTTTGCAATGATGTTCGCGGAAAAGGGTATCTGAACTAGCCCCACGTTTACCATCCGTCTTTGTGCTCGCTTGTTAAACAGTATTTGATAAGTTGCCTTGCTCCCAGTTTCACATTACTCTTGTGGTCTGATTTTTCCGCTCGATTTTTATTTATATGATTGTGTGTGCAAGTAATCGGAAACATCAGCAATTACACTCATTTGCTTACCAATTTGGTTTCCACAGGAGGTTCACCTGAATCCTAGCTGGATCTTTCACCTATAGTGTTCTTTATCAGGGTCTTCGGAAGCCCTCTGAGGAGTGTATTACGTCTGCGTCAGAGTTATGTCGGATTCTCGATACACTGTATACGGGTAGTGAGTTTTGGGTCAGAAACTGAATAGCAAGAGCCTGGACATTGCTGCAACCGCAATGCCGCTTTCCGTTTTCCGGCTTTGCCGCTTCAGTTCACTTTACGGAGACCTTCTGCTGGGGTTGGATAATCCTGTTCCTCAAGGGTTACATCTAAAGCGGTACTGTGATTTTTCTAACACGTATGTCGTTCTCGAAACCGGTCAAGGGTCGAAGTCAAACGATCTGCTCATGAGTACGTGGGGAACCCATTCGTCAGGGGCTACATGTCAACAAAACTTTTTACCTGAGTTGTGAGAAAGCGCGTAGTTACCTTACAGTTTAACCATTGTGAAACAACTGTCATTGTCGCGTTTTTCATTTTTATGCCCTTCATTTGTCCTTTTCTTCGTTTTTAGGATGTGTTCCCAAACCTCGGCTCATTTTTCTGTCAGCTACCACAATGTGACAACGTGAATGATCACCACACTTTGTCGAGTGCCACACTGTTCGGATTTCTGTTGAAGCTTTGCATCCTTAGGCGTCCTCCCCCACCAGAACCATTTGGTGTATTCTCCGTTGATTCAGATGGCTGCTGTTCATTCACATTGCGTGAAAAACAAGGGAAGATTGATCTCCGTTCGTCCTCTGTTATCTCGGCAAACAGCACGCCTGTCGTGGTGAATTTAATCTTATCAGCTATTTCAAACGCTTTCGATGGAGATCGGGTTCCCGAAAGAGATGCGTCTGAATGGTTCCTTGCCTATTGTTTGACCTTCCTAAGGTGAGTTTGCTCGCAATTCATTTTACGTCCCTTCGTGAACCTCTATAATGGTCAGCGTGCTCTTAAACTCTTTCCTATTCATTCTGTTCATCTCAACCAGAATAGCTTTTCGACGAAACAAATGCTTACCTTATTTTTTCCCGATGTCAGTAGTCTGGTTGCTACAAGCAACCGAACAATAATAGAAGGACACCTTTGGACCACCGTTCAGGCATCCACGAGTTTCAGGAGACGTTTAATCAAACAAAAGTGAAGGAATGATTACGACAACATTCTGTCCGCCCTCAGTATCGACCTCAGACTGGTTATCGGTTGAATAAAAATGACCATCCTTCGCGCTTCTTTCAACCTGTTCTGCTATGAAATAGACGAAAATGATATAATTTATTCCAAAATTCTGTTTCTATCACCTACTGTCTTAAGTAAGCAGGAACTTCTGCTTGGGCCTCGGTTCCTAAGGAGTAAAGCAACTTACATGTCTCTTAACAGCCGCTCGACAACTTACTACCATCATAATCACAGTGACGGGGACTAACAATCACTATACAGGTTCACAAAGTTGCTCTAGTGTGTCTGATTCACGGATATTCAGAAGTCTTGGATATCAATAGCTTTCATTTCAGATGGAATGAAAAATTCAGTTAACTTTCCACGAAGGCTGTTGATGTAGATGAAATTCCCCGTGCCGTTGTTAATGGTCACCTCCAGACTTAGATGCACTCCCATCGAGAGGTACTTTGGGCATTGTCTTCACTTCCACCATGCAAGCATAAGTAATGGCAACTGGCAGGCGCTTCCTAGGGTCAGCAGCATCGGTTTCTTGGGATCCCATTTGTGTTTTTCATGGAGCCAACTTCAAAACTGTTATCTTGCTTTTCAGTCCCCTGCCGTTGGAACACGTCAGTACCGTACTTTGTCAGGCATCTCATCTCCTGGTCACTCAAATCACTTCAAACACTCCAGGTGAGCCGTCTCAATGGGTGCATGATCTGTTTTGGATAGTTTCGCAAACCGTATAGGGGCTTCCCATCGTGGTAAAATTCCTCAGGCTGCTTTTCCCTGTCTAATAAAACAGCGAAAGCCAACAAAGTCGGTCGAAAATTGCCACCCCAAATGGTTGGAAGCTATAGGTGGTGTTGTCGCTCGACACTTTCCTATTAAATAAAATGTTTCTTTATATAAAATCTGCCTTTATTCTTTGATTTAAAAAGGAGTAAAGGCAGTTTGGTTGTTGATTTCAGGTCATACTATTGGCTGTTGCTATCGGGAAGGTGAGGTCTCAATCTATAAAAGGTCCCCTAGTGAGGACCTCATGGGGCCAGCCAAAAGTGAATACTTTGGAGAAGTGTTTAGCCCAACAGGACATGTCGACAGCCATTTTTGCATGCTAGGGACAAAAGAATAACGCCGCACTTCTCTTTCTCCCATTGCTTAGACTAACAACATTTCTCCTTGAAGTACTATCAGGTGCGTTTATGTTTGTCTAGTAGCCCGAATAACCTCAAATTGTCATTCCTCTCATTTCAGATGTTCCCATATCTACGAACCAATTACTGCTTTTGACCTCGCTGCTGGTTTTTGTCGAAACACGTTCGCAGTTATTTCCTTCCGGTGGACAGTATGGTCAACCGACCATCCCGTTCGGAGAGGTGCCTGTGAATGTCCTTCTTCGTTTGGCACGGTGAGCTTCCACCTGATTCCACAAGCACAGACTCGAAACTGGTGATTCTGATAGATTTCTGATTAACAAAGCGTTTTATAAAAATCCCAGCTTACAGCTCCATGAGCTCGGACTAGGAAGCGGCTCTTATTCAGTAGCTGAGTTGACCAATGGGATTAGATGCAAGACATTGACCGGAATGTCTTAAGATTTGAGTTCATCCCTGATTTACTTATCTATCCTGTCTTTATTGTTCATCAAAAGGAACAGTTTTGAACGCACAGTACCTTGCCACCGTCCTTCCAAGGGTTTAAGGATTATCCTCGTGTTTTTTTATAAAAGTGATGCCACGGGGTACTAGCCAGTCGACGAAACGGTCGCGTGACTGGAATTGATTCATTGAGATCGCCTAGATTATCGAGGAATCGAATGAAGGACAAACAGCAGATGTAGGTCAGTTCTCGGTATCCGATTCCAATATCGGATGCCTTCGCTATTCAACTGAAGTTTTTACCGAGCCAGAACCAACACGACCTACATGTGCTCCAAGTTTTTGCACAAATATTCGAGGACTCTGGCCTGACCCTCAAATTTCACATAGTTTCCCATAAACTGCACGGCCAAATGTAGTCTCAGCTAGACGATGCAGGGTTCCGAATGAGCTTTCTCGTTGTTGAGGGTAAGCACCGCTTTATAGAATCCTACACTCCTCTGTTTCAATAAGCCTAGTTTTCCCCTGTTTCGTGAACCAGATGTGTTTTATTATTATTATCCAAACTAGCCTTATTTTTCCCCAAACAGCATGCAGCAGAGACCTATTTTGATGTTTACTTGTGCTGGAAGACCTCTCTAAACCTAATGCCTTCTGGTTTCGGTTCATGCAATCTATGACTTCTGTAGAGTATTGTCTTATTCGCGGGCTGTTTCTGCAATTTTGACCCAGTCATTTGAGCTTTCAGTGGTACCCTACAGGGCCAAGTTCAGTTTACCTCTTTGTTTTCTCAGAACTCAATGTTTGACTAATACCGATGTATGCTGCATCGCGCTGCGCATATCAGATATCGTCTGTTGCGCCCGTGCCCTTGTTTCACCGGAGCAACGTACGATGGATCCTGACCCAACAGCCGTTTCTGATCTACTCCCCTGTCTTGTGTCCCCAAGTCATCAGGTGAGTTTAATTGAGTACGTTCTGGCCTTCTAATCGCGACGTTGTTTGAAGAATCTGAGTTCTTTCACGTCCTGATATATATATATATATATATATATATATATATACCTACACCTATACACCAACATACATACTACTCGGTAACCAGCGCTGAATAGACTAAACATCCGTATTCAAGCTAGTTTTACCGACCCAATGACGGTCGCATCTGAGCTGTGTTGAAAAAAATATCGAATCATGATAGCTCTCGATTTCAGGTTATCCGAATGCCAATACCGAAAGAACAACTGCATTCTGCTCGTGGGCTTGCAGCCACTGAACACGCCACTTACAATCGAGGGAGAGGTACTGGAAGTTGTGGAGCGTTTTACGTATCTTGGAAGTTGTATTAGTTGTATTAGTCCCCTGAGTCTCAAGGGACGTATGTATCAAGCTACAGTGCGGGCTGTCTTGTTGTATGGCTGTGAGACTTGGCCTATTCGAGCAGCAGAACTGAGACGTCTTCAGGTGTTCGGCAATCGTTGTCTCAGAACCACAGCTCGTGTGGGTTGGTGTCGGTGAATCCGTAACGAGGCAGTTAGAAAGCGCGTTTTCGGTTGTGCAACGGGTACTTCCATTGAAGAATGTGTCCAGCACCAGAGGCTGTGTTGGTTGGGACATGTGTTGCGTATGCCGAACCATCGTTTGCCGAAGAGAGTGCTGTTTTCCATGCCCAACTCAGAGTGGCGTAAACAGGGAGGTGGCCACTTTGAATGTGTCCCCTTTGGAAAAATTTGTATATAATGAACTGACATCGAAACTTACCAGGATGTCATCTGGTTCAACGGTGATCCAAAGTAATGTAAGTAATGTAAGTACTAGATTTCCGGTGAGGGGTTGGCCTGATGAAGCTTTTGTGTCAAAAGCGAAACGTTGCCCAAATAAAAACTACCGATTGTTTACCAATCTCTTCTGAAACGATGACTTCTCAACCGGTTCCAAACTTTTTCCTATTTGTGAAGTTGTTTACCACCTCATCCAATGGTTAAATCCGTCTTTTATCTTAGGTACGACTGCATGCTCTCCGATTGTTATTGGTGCTCAGTAAGGCGGTTACTTTGGATGGCACTTCAACCTCTCCTGGAGATGTCTTGCTCTCCACTGTTCCTGTGCTCACCCGTTGTTTGCGCGCCGAAAAAATTCACCTCCACCCTCAAAATGTCCGAGAGTTCCTGATACCTGTTCTTCACATGCATGCTCATCGTAATGGAATAAAAGACTTACCATCCTCTGCCCAAGTACGTATCGAAACTTTTGTTTGGTAACCAACATTCCCCTTCTATTTTCTTGCACACTTCCATTTGAACAGACATCTACTCTGACAATTGTGGTTAGCCAAGGCCAGCGTTTTTTAGAGAAAGTAGAGCGGGCTTGAAGGTAGTAGGATGGCAATGAAGCGAAGTCAGATAGGTGAGGGTTGGAATGGATCTACTTAGCATTGTGTAAATGTACGATCGGTTACGTCGTTTGTCAAGATTCCGGTTTGATGCTTCAGATGGCTGTAATTGCATTTTGCTCCATGACACCGTCTACATGCCTTTTCGGCTGTTGTAATGGGCACGTGTAGTTTTTAAGGCTAGCAAAATGCACGCGTTTTTAATGCCCCCTATTTCCTCCCGCAGTCATTGTTGATTTGCTGGGCACACTTTGGTACGTGGCGTTCTCATACATGGATAAAGCCTTAATGATTGCACCATGTGCCATTAAAATAGAAACTATTCAACAGTAACCGATAAAATATAATCATTTTATAGCGACCATGTGCGGAGATTTCTTGCCACACTCCATTGCAAACTGTTTAACTAGACAAGCTTTTAAATTTTGATTACAGATTCGTGTTTTGTGGAAGGACTTTTCAGTGAAACCGACCTGTTTTCTTCTAATTATTGAAACTGCTAACATGAGTGAAAACCAGTGTCCATCTGCCTCTCACGTTAATTATTGGTTTTTTTGCGCACTATAATCCCCACGACATGTCGCCACGGAGAAACATATTAGACCTGTACCTCTTTTCGGACAGTTTGCACATCAGATTTCGGCGGAGAATGCTGTTATTTGAGGCATGACGGTCCCTGTTTGGGGGGTATTTTTGGTGTAATGCACCTGAACTGTGAGGATGATGGCTTCATCTATAAGGAGCTCTGGCCTGATCTCCATTCCTAGGATTGACGCTTTATTCCATGATTCTGATCGATTTCCACAGTGGTCACACGTTTGGAGAAATTCAGATTACTCTCAGCCCCAACACTCTCACTGTTTCTATATCTCCAGATCGCCTTACATCATCTCTTGGGTTTGCTACACGTTCCTCTCACATCTGCTTGGCCTGGAATTCAGGAAGCAATTGCTAGCTTTGCTGAGTTACCTGTGTCAACACCAAAACGCGATGCACACACGAAGTCAAACATGGGTGTTGATGAAGAGCGATCACAATGGTCATACGTGGCCCGTCAGCTTTATTGGACGGTCATTGAACCTGTCCTGAAGGAAGCCAACAGCATAGTGCTAGAAAATAGCCAACCAGGTAAGATTGTGTTCTCCTTTCTTCCATGATGAATACAATTTGATCTGGCAAACTCATCTATTCGTCCTATGTAAGACCAGCATCCGTGTGCAGATTTATTATGCTATTGGCGTGATGTGAGGTGCGCCATGGCATAGCATGAAATATTTCTTCGTCTGTCTTACAGCCCAGTCAGTGGCGGAGAAACCCATCGACCCCACCGATCCATTTTTCCGATTTCTGCAGCGGCTGTGTTGGCAACCAGACAAAGACTATTTGCCCTTTGAGACTAATCAAGACGTTGGCTTTCGCTCAATCAACTGGCCTGTATATCATCTCTCTCTGTGGCGTTGTCTTCGTCCGATTAGTGCATGCCAAAAGTCTCGCCTAATCAGTCCTTTGGCACTGAAGATAATCCAGTAAGTTGTGTGTATGCTTTTCCACGTCAGTCAGACCTTTCTCAGGCTGTGGTCTAACAATGCCTAAGAGTATTTGACAGATACTGATAAGTGACCGCATTCTCTGATCACCTTGGATAAAGACGCGTGGTTATGGCTTATATACTTGTCCGGAGGCCGACCACCCCTAATAACCGAACATCATCGTTTGGACGGATGTGTCGCGTGCAGGACACGGACTAAACGAGGGCACGCCCTGATTGGTCAGAATACCAGCCAATCCGGATCGAGCATCTTTGACTCGATGCTTCTCGCCCCCTCACGGAGATCTTAACACGACCATGTGGAACACCCTGTGATTACCCTATCAATACGGTTGTAATAATTTTCCTTTGTCTCCATAAGGGGCTGTGTAGAGCTACCGTGCCTTTTGATGTAGCATAGTGGGCGGACCAGGAAGCCAAGGGACCGATACGGAGTTGCACGATCGTCCATCAAGTCACAACAATATGTTTATCGTCATTGCACAATAAATCGTCTAACGAGTGGATACCCTTCCCATTCTATTGACATTCGTTTTTCCTATTTACAGCTTCGGACTCGAACACGGATTCACGAGATCTGAGGAAGAGTGAGTTACCTCTTGTTGTATCGACTCATCTATTTGTTGTGTATTTTTGAAGTTGACCCCATTTTTCACAAGTTCTCATCTGTTATGCATACTTGATTGAGTTTGTATGACAGGCCATTTTTACTGGCATGAAAACTGGGTATATTTGTCACAAGTTGGCGAAAGAAAGGAACCGAATCCTCAAGCAATAAATAAACGTAGCAAAATTATGCCCAATTTTGTAAGTAGGTCGATCGCGAAGCGTTTACAAACCAACTGCGAGAACTTGTGAACCATTCGTCAAGAAAGACTTGATTTGTTTTTTCTTCAGCAATTCCGAATGCGGAATCAACTAACATCAGCAGATTTCAAGTAAATGTCGATGAAAGAAAGGCATGTCTGTGGTGAATCATTACTTTAACACTCGATTCAATCGACTGCCCCGGCAACTCGTTCTTCTGGTTCCTGCCTGGTTTATGTTTCTAATACCCTCTTCATCACATCGCTGGACTGATCGTAAATCAACAAGCCGTGGTTTACTGGATGACTTTGAAAATGCCCAACAACATTCTCCACAAGAGTTTGGATGAATTACGCAATCAGGGCTCTTCATGTTGTCAGCCTGTGACCAGACTTGGTTTTCGCACATTTCCAATAGGAACAACCCTCAAATTCTGGTAACTGGCCGTTTAAGATCAAGTCAGCTCGTGCTGAAATCGCAACATCTCACTATATGTAAAATAATTTGGGGTCTCACGTGAGTATGATTGTGAACTGTTTCACACACTGTTCTTCTGAACAGTCCTCCTTCTGGTGGGCCCACACCAAAGGGGAAAAGCACTGGACTCGGGTTTCGCTTTTATTCGACCTCATCAGCAGTGCACACGGCGCCCACCCGAATTCAGGTACGCTGGTGGAATAGTGGTAACATGCTGGCGTCGCATATCAAATGTTCAAATTTCAAACCCGTGCACGGTGAGGCAGATGTACTGAGGATCAGCTCCAAAAGAGCGAACCTCCCCTTCGGTGTGAACTTACCAGAATAACTGCAACAAAACGGGGGGGATTGCTCAAAGGAGAATGACGTGAATATGAATTCCACAAACCCCGTAAACATCTGCAACTATCATGTGTTTGAGCACATACGCCGTCTTGTCATGTTTATTGTAGAGAGTACCATGAAGTCTACGAAATCGGTACCTGTATCTGGACTCTGAAAAACTCGGTGGACCTTGACAGTATACTTTCGCCGCCTCTGTTCGTTTCCGATCACATTTTAGACCAGGCAAATGAACGCAACTACCTTACTTCCCATTTTATCCCCTGATGTTTTCGTTTCCAACTCATTTTGTCTGTCTCTATTTCCATTACCTCTACTTAAAAAAGTCGTTTTGTTGTACACTCTAGGTTACTTATTGTTGTGCTGGATCTGTTTTCCAAGTTCCCAAACCTGAAGTCCATTTGCCAGGAAGTGGAATTCCGAACAGCTCTGTATGAAGTAAGTAATGTAATGTGAAGTTTTTAGCAAGTGGTGGCGATCTTTTGTCTTGGGATGCTTATTCCTGGACCGTTCACTCATCCAGTTTGCCTGTGTAGTGTGGATGAAGGTGGAACGCTATTTTGGCTTGATATGTGTCGACTGTATCCCAGGAAGACACAGCCGTTGACTCTTTCCTCAACTGGGGCTTCCGTCTTCTTGGACCGGCGGACTCCTTACTCTCAGTGAAATTTTTTAAATAATCTTTCGCTCTAGTACATCAATCTATTAAGTCCCCGGAAATGGGTCAAAATACTGTGTTCATTGCATGAAAATCTTCGTGTTTTGTTGCCAATCAGTCAGTTTCCATATCATTAGAGTCAGGATTGTTCTGCGCACTTCATATTCTTTAAACTACAGCTGGCTGATTGACGTTCGAGATCCGAATTCACCGTTAGCTATATGCATTGGTGGCGTTGGTGGTTGACTAGTGGACGGAATGCGAACCCTAGATTCTGTTATAGCTGATAGCCCCATACATATTGCGGTTTGAACAATATACTAATGGTTTTTGGTCGAGTGATTTCCTCTGAGGGGAAATCTGTAGCTCTCACAGCCGTTGATCAGCGATTTTGTGTTAAATCTGAGCTTCTCAACTATAAGAACTAATCGGATCCTTGCATTCAGTGGACTCGTGTGGGCTGTTAAACTTCTTCCAATTGCTTCAATTCCCAGAGTATCGCCACACTTTCTGAGTTGATTCTAGTTCGTGTATTTTACTTCCAGACTCCTGCGCGTACACTCAACTTTCGCATCCACATCACGAACGTAGTTAAGCGGTGTTCACCTACTCTCCTGTACACCGTATAACCAGTGCTACTCGATAGCGACGTTTCAGACCAGGTTGATGCAATGATAGGGAATGCGGTTCATATATAATTAAAGGCTATTCTTAATTTATTTGCATCCTTACTGAATATTGGTCTCACATTTGTGGCATACAGTTCTTATTCAGGACTGGTCGATGGGTTTCGTCACACACTTAGTGCTCGATTCCTGTGAATAAGCAATCACTAGGATAGCTGTCCTTATTTAAGATTGAACTGATCATTCACTTAGTTGTGACGAGTTTTAAAGTGTTACACAAAAGCAGACGCAGTGGTCTGTCATCAGGATCTGCGCTTATTTTCGGAAACCCGTAGTAACGGTGCTTCGCACAGGACTAATCCAGGCTATGCTCGATCTATGTTGCTCCAAACGAACACACTTGTGTTTGTTGACAAATCCGCCTCCAGCGAGAAAAGCGCCAATGATATTCAGAATGAGAAACACACTGATAACCCGGTTAGTCATTTATTGCACATCTGGCCGCTGATCGAGTGCTCGGTACAAGACGGTGTAACAATGTATCGGCACCTATTTGCTGTTCCCTATCAAGTCCTATATTAGTAACCTTAGGGATATCTTTGTATGTGAGCCACAGGCTCTGCGACACAAATAGCCATAACGAAGTTTTTTTCACAGTGCTTCTTGGCTTTTTCAACAAATGTTGATTTCTATTCATAGAATGTGGTCCTTATTCAAAATTACTTCATCCTCGATCGGTACAGAAGCGTATCGAATGATGCTTGCACTTGTGCTTCTAGTTTCTGCACATCTGCGCGCTCTTCTCACCCCTGTCCTTTGTCTACTCCATCCCGTAGCTACTTACCAACAAACGCCCAACAATACAGTCTGCCGCATTCAAATGTTTGCTAGCCTACAAAAATCCTGCACTGAACGCATACAGGTTGGTTTGAATTTCTAGTGTTTTTTTTTGGTCAACGCTTTACGGCTACTAACATCAAATGCATGTGGTTCGTTTCTGTCTTTATTCCGAATCACTGATCCGTTCCAACTCCAGATGTTAGTATAGCAACACGTACTCTTGCTAGGTTGTCTTTTTACATTGTACACTAACCGGATTGATGATTGATGTAAACGTGCCAGAGGGTAATTTGACGCAGGTGCCCTCTTGTGTGTTTCTTGACTCAAATTGTACCCACTTTATTTGTATGTGAGATGACTCGCAATATGCCGCAAGGAGCCCTGATGCTCAACTCTGGCTACGAGAATTCACCTCATACTCTTGATGTAATAAGCCAAATTCTCCAACTCGAATTGCGGAAAGTTGGCTAGCCAAACAACATTGTTCGAATCATCATGACTCACCAAGTCAGTACTCGGGTTTGAACCTAAACAGTGTGACTTTCAGGAACAGAATGTTTTGATAGAGATAATGATGGAATGCAGCATGAAGCAAAAAAGTGTTGGACCCAGTTTGGCGACTTCTATCAGAATATAAAAAAATCCTTCAGCTGTAACACCCTTCCGGTGCCTAGCTGCCATGCTACCAGAAGGAAGCACGAGGGCTGGGATACTGCCAGGTCGCCCAAGCCTAGACAGGGAAGTCGAGAGGCGGAGATCGGGTTGGAACCACGGACCTTCCGGTCAGTAAATTCGCGCTCTAACCACGGATCATCTCGCCCCCCCCCCGTTTCGAAACTATAACCGTGTCATTATGACTAGAACGACTGTGTGTGACGGAACTATTTAGGTTTGTTGCACATACTCAAATGCTTAAATCAGGGTGCACCAAGCACACTCAGGAAGTACAGTCAGCCATCACAAACTGTTCGAACAGAGGAGTGCACCTCTGATTTGGCTTACGAACAACAAGAAATGGGACTAAGTTTACCTTCTCTGTTGCGACAAATTGTAATGAAGCGCTTCGGCTTATCGTGGAATCAGACTGCATACCCAGCGGATACTATGGTTGGTCCCCCGTAGGTCGATTCGCATAGTTGGTCAACCACGTCGGAGAGTTTTCAGCAACCTTGTGAGTAGTTTCCTTCATGGAAACAGACAAGGGATTCATCGAAAGAGCAAAAACGCCCGAATCAAACGGACACTAATTTGATTGGAGGAGGTGCCCAGCCAATAAGTCAAAGTACCTAATTAACCAGCGGATTCAGGGCCAACAGCCGTTATAATAGAGAAAAAGAATAGAAGAAAAAATAGAGAAAAAATCAATCTCGAGAAGACCAGACCACAAAACAGTGCAAATTGAGAAGAGGAAAATATAAGCAGAAACTACTAAAAGTACAAGGCATTGAGATAACCAATCACTTCAAAGAAATGCAGATCGCAACACAAAAAAAAGCCACAAACGGACCAATAAATCCACGAAAGCACTATCTCCCAATTGGCTAATCACGTTAAGGTATAACAACTTTCAAATGCTATATAGACGCACGCAGGCAAGGAGGAACTATCCACGCAAGTACGCGCTGAATGTCTCCTCATATGGTGACGAAAAGTTTGCAGGATAGAACAACAGCCACCCGATCAATAACCAATGTACTCGCCCCAGCTACCAATACTTCGATACACTGTGAGATCGTCAAACATGTAATTCGGCAACCTAACAGTGTATATTGGGGACGTTCAGTCGGTTCATCCGAATATTCCATGGTACGACTTCCCAATTCAGATGCATTACTGCAAACAATACTAAGCTCTAACTGCGGATTTGCACTGGAATCCGCAATATGCCTGAAAATCGGTATTTTCTCTATCGTGAGTTCTTTCTAATTTTGAAACAGGCTCGTAGAGCACTTGTGTATAAGTAACGTTCCACAGCCTCGGGCTATACGTAAAAAAATTCCTGCCTTTACTCCACACAGTTAGAAATAAACATTAAACATAGCTATTCTAATGTTCTTAGCGTCTACCTTTCCTTGTCATTTATCTCTTGTTCTGTCAGGCCGTCAGGTTTTGCTGGACAAAGTCCAAATGCGTTACTAACTGTGGTGTATAACCGCGCTCTGTTCCATTGCAAATAGGTGGTAGTGACCACGAAGTTATTAGGGAACTATGGTTCCAGTGAGCACAAACGACGTGGATAGTGTTTGTGTAACGGGCAGTGACCCGAGATGACAGCTATGTTCTCAGAGAGACCTGGTCACCGGAGAACAATGTCCCTCTTCATATAACCTGAACTCGATCATACATGTCGTTTGTGGCTGCCATTCGTTGCACATGTGCGGATGGGCGTGCATACACATTGATGATGCGCAATAAGGGAAACGGAAATTAGGTCTTCAAAAAAGTTTCGAAAAGTCGTTTTGTAGTTCTTTTCAGGTAATTTTTAGCTTACTTGTCCATGTTTCATATCAGCATCCTCATTCACCATCCCTCCTTTCGTGTAGGGGAATTCAATGAATGATTTTCTGGTATTTGTGCTCGTTTTGTTGTTTGATTACATGGTACTAATTCCCGGTGACCCGAGTTTGATTCTTCGAAGTATACCTTGACTGTTTTACTATTTCGCCAATAAAAACGCTACTCCAGTCGGCAGGACAACTTGAGAATTTCTTATTGTTCGGGCATTCTTTGCAACGCACTCGTTTGTATCATGCGAAGTGGCCTCTCCCCCGTACATGTGACTTTTTCTTTCCCTCGTTGCCTTTCTCCGCAACACATTCAACATTTGACCCGTTTTGTTGTCATTCAGGGATCAGTTGGAACGGATAATTGAAATGAAAACATTTCGGGAAGAAATACGCACCTTCAAACTGGATACTGCAGTTCAAAACACCGCACACCGTGCCCATGTTGCACCAATATTTCTTCGGTAAGTCTACGTGACCCTTGCACTATCAGAAAAATCGTGCGTGTGGTTTGTACATCTCAATTCCGAATGCCGCTTTTCACTGTGTTGAGGTAGATATGTCTTCCAAAAAGTGAACAGACCCTTAGCTTTCCAAAACGGGTTTATTGCACCTTTTGATTTCCTACGAACCGTCATTAGGCTTTTCACTGGGACATGCTGCTAGTTAGGTGTGATAAACAATTGATTCAACCATAGAGGTTATTCTGTACTCAGTTCCTGATACTTTTGGTACTGTTTAGTGACTGGCATTATCTCCACATCTGTCTCCGTTTTTGGTGAATGACCAAACGTCTTTCATGTGTCTTCATTTGTGCCAACACAATTGAAGTGAATTTCGCTATTTCTGGATACCTACATGGTCGTTATTCACTCTTCCCAGCTCGGCAAATAAACCGATGAATTATGGTCCAACTCGTTTGCTGGTGCCTGCCTGCATTGTATATAAATGCGGGATTTTCAGGTTTGGTCTACGATTTAGTCCCTTCCACTGTCATATTTCTGCTGGATATCACGTGGCATTACTATTTTCAAACCCGAAGTCAGACTCCATCCGGGGTGTTGCATCAATTCATACAGACGTTGAAGCTCCGTGGACCGCTCATGCACACGGGGTCTGTTCGACCTTTGTACACACGCAAGATAGCTGAATGGTTAGAGCGCGAACTTACTGGCCGGAATGTCCGTGATTCGAACCCGATTTCAGCATCTCGACTGCTCCTGTCTAGGCTTGAGTAACCTGGTAGTATCTCAGCCCTCGTAGCTAGACATGGAAAGGATGTTACAGCTGAACGATTTCTTACACCCGTACTGCAGCTGGTAAATTTGATACACCAGATTTCATGCGGGAATTGCAGCACCGAAACTTTACAGATGACATCAGCACCTCGTCGGTACCATATCTGATACCCCGCTACAAAGGCTTCGAGAATGAATTCTTGGCTAAACTGTGCTCGCCAGGGAAATGCTACAGATCACAAATATGGCTTCTATGGTCGCACAGATCTACAATGTCGGTCATCTGGAGTCGGTTAAAGGCGATGCACCTCCATCCAAGTGCCTTGTGATCGTCTATTGTAGCCTGGTGGGAACCATGTTTTGAGCCAAAGTTTTCTTCATTATCTAGAGTTTCGGCTATCTGGTTGCTGAATTTTTCGCTATTTTTGGGGCTCAATTGGTTGGAGCGCAAATTTACTAACCTGCAAGTCCGTGGTTCCAACCCGACCTCTGCCTATCGACTTCCCCTGTCTAGGCTTGGGCAACTTGGCAGTATCCCAGCCCTCATGCAACCTTCGGGTAGCATGGCAGCTAGGCACCGAAAGGGTGTTACAACTGAATGATTTTCCCGCCGTTTGGTTTTATTTTGAAGACGCATGTTACCCAAGCCTTGTTGTTATCTAGATACGTTCGTGTTTACTCTTTCTAACCACCGACTCCCAGATGTGAATCCACGTCGTATTCTTCAACCATTAATTTGTTCCAGAATTTTGTACGGTCGACTGCAACTGTCAAAGAATAGTTTTGCTCCAGCTATCTTCACTAACCTGGCCACTTGTTCGTTCGACGAATTCAGCTCTTTTCTCAACCTTCTTTTTGCACCATTATTGAGCATGTCCATTTCTGGTGGCCAAACATCTATTCTCGGGCTTCCACAAGATTCGAACGAACTGATCCGCTTGACTGATGACTTGCAGGACCGTGTTAAGCAATCTTGTCTTGTCGAGAGAACATTGAACTGGTCCAAACTTCAAGCGTGAGTGCTTCCATTACTACTCCCACAGGTTGTGTGTAATGAGTAAATATATTCTCCTTAATTGCTTGTCTTGTGGAGCTCTGTTTGAACATCCTTGTACGTGAGGTCCTTGTTGGAAGTGTCTCAAATTTTGACACTTGTGCGATATCCTACTTTGGTTCTTCGTTCTCTACTCGAGGTCCAGACCAATCGCAACAAATGCATCCTCAAAAGTGTTCTGTTAGCGTCTTAAATTTCTGTTTCGCTAGCCACTGATAGTTATGTTGGTTTGGATTTACGAATTAGGATTCTTGATGTCCGAATCGGGGCGAGATGGACCAAGTGATTAGAGCGCGAATTTACTGGCCAGAAGGTCCGTGGTTCGAACCCCTCCGCCTCTCGACTTCCCATCTCTAGGCTTGGGCGACCTGGCAGTATCCCAGCCCTCGTGCCTCCTTCATGTGGCATGGCAGCAGGCACCGAGAGGGTGCTACAGCTGGGCGATCATAAACCAGTTGAGCTGTAATGTTATGTTAATCGGTTGTGTCCGAATTCTTCAGTCTTTCGCAGTTCCCTGCTACTACCTTCTGGACTCAACTCTCAAGTAACCCAGTACGAGAGCTAGCGCTCTCTTCTCAAGGTCGTTCAGTTGCTGCATTCCGGTTGCTAAATCTGTGAAGTGAACCGGCAAATTCAGTAGAAGAAGCTTGTTTGCTATTCACTAGAAAGTACCTTGACCGTGTGATGAATATAGGAAGTTTGTTTCGGTTGTGATAAGATGTCATTTTTGAAAGGGAACACCGTGTTGAACTCTCAAGAGAGTAGCCTCTGTTGGAGAATCTGCACTGGATGATAGTTGTTACAGGATTTTTCAAATGAACGAAGGTCAACAGTTGAATTTGCCTCTCCTTTTCATCGGTGCTCCTTGTTTGTGGATGCCGCACATTACATCGTTGATGATGATAATATACAGGACCCACGCTTTTAACATCCCTGTTGCTTGACTTTTTAATGAGTGAAAAAAAACTTCTCACTGTTTTGCGTTTGCTCTCCTGTTTGTCTAGCCTGTCAAAGGTGCTCAATCATGTACTGGACTATATGGGTCACAGACTGGGTGCAGCGCGTATCGCGTTGAATCACAGCGACGATGGACCTCCAGACACTAATAAAAATGAGCATGTGGATATATTGCTTCGATTGGGACTTTGTCTAATCGCAATGGTTCAGGCCGCCAAAGATGCAAAGTCATCGTCCGCCGCTAGCAATGCTTCTCGGTCCGGCTATCTACCCCTAGGTCCCCAAGTGAAACGCATCCGTTCGACTGGCGTTCGCCTATTGGAACATTTGTTCAACTCAGACCTACTTCAGTCGAACGGGTTTTGGAGTGAACACGGTCGCTTAAATGCCGTTCAGCACGTCTGCCTCCAGCCCTCAATTATGGCCACTCTGCTCACAAGCTCTAGCGTTTCAACGAATCACCTACTGTTGACCCTGACTCTCCCGTGGTCCAGTTCAGCCAGTCTCGCAGCGGCGCTGCTGTCTCATTCGGTCCTAGAAACACTGTTGAAATTGTTGTGTATGCCGAAATTAAACTCCGCAGTGGCCGAGAGGTTGATTGAAATAATCTCTAATTTGATTTTCTTACCTGGTAAGTTTGTTTCCTTGTGCCTGCATTGTGTATATCTTGTACATTTCTCGTGTACCACTCCTCTAATGAATTAGGCTTTATGCCTTCACTTGAGTCGTAAAAGACCGAAACCAATAGTCGGTCGCTGCTGCGAAAAACAAGTAGTTTTGTCTTGTAGTCCTAGTTTAACCTCCATGCCCTGGCATGAAAGTTTTGGGGCCGGAACACATAGGCCCATATACTCCAGTTACATACCTAATGCTGCCTTCACAGTCCTTACCATAGCAACAAAATTTAGCCTTCTGTAAATGATGCACTTTTTCTATGTATCCAAGTTGTGACGTTACAGAGCAGTCAACTTGCCCAGCTCAGCGAACAAGCCAACGACCATCTACGCTACCTAAGCTACCAACGTTTTCCTCCGTAGTTCTAATCAATGCTTACTCATTCCTCTGTTGTCCTCCACATGAAGCATTCTCAACAAACTGCCTTAGTATGCCGTTTTCGAGCTGGCCAGTCGAAATTGCAAACGGAAACCCCATAGGCATACTGGTGTAAAGAGTGAACATTACAGAGGTAACGCTTTGTACACAATTGAAGAAGGTCGTTGTGCGCTTTTCGGTTAACTCTTTCTTTGGTTTCAAGCACGTCTAAACACTGGTGGTTGATCAGATGGCTGTTGGTCCGCTCGCGACTGTTTCGCCACGTCTCTGGTGGTAATTACCTAGATCACGTGTCTGCGATCGCGGACTGCTATTGCAGACCACACATGGGCTCGCTAACATAAGTTGAACCTCGATATACGTTGGCAAACTGACTCCAACAATATAAGTTGGGTTGCCCACCCGGCTGAAGAACTACTGGAAAGGGCACATAGCTCCTGCCATTTTAAAATGCGCTCTGAGGAGAATTCAGTCAAAGTTGTAATCAAAGTGAACATTCGAAAGATATCAGTTTCATGAAAAGCTTTCACTTCAAGGCAGTTTGGGGCACCTCTGTGTGTGCGCCAGCAGAAAGGAAGTTGAGATATCAAATGGCAGAGACGAGTAAAGTAATTCAAGGTTCACAGAGGTTCGCACAGTGCTTTCCTCAATTCGTTAGATTTTGTGAGGGAAAAGTGAGCGATCTGGCCCATATTAGGAACCTAGGTATGAATTGCGTTTCACTCTAATTCAACTAAGGAAGCAGGTGCAACAGGTTTCCATAATTGCCTGCTTAACCGAACAGCCATTTGGGTGTCACAAAACCGAGGATTTATTTGAATGGGTACCTCCTTTCTGTGCCGGATGGAGGATAACTGTATCTCTGCTGAAGCCTAATCAAAAGCGCACACAACCGGGATGAGTAGAAGCCTGAATTTAAGCTTGCTTGCGCTCACGGCTACGGTAGTGTAGTCTGCTCACTGTTCCCCGCATTGTTGAGTCGGCCTGCTGATGTTCCGTCACATCTTTCTAATAGTTATTAAAAGACTTATAAGCCGATCTGTTCACTTGTTTGTGGTTTTGCCAATTCCGTCCAATCTCAATAGCCGAATAATTTTCATCCCTCATGTTTGTCTTTTATGATAGATGTACAGATGGTTGGACGTAAACTAATAATGCCGTTCCATGCGCACTTGATTCAATACATGAGTGATCGCTTGGAACACATATCCAATGTTAAGACCTTGAAGTTCTTCGAGCAAAAACATGGCAGCCTGCGGCTCCAACGCGAATTTCGAATTCTCACATTCCTGGCGACGCCTGTGGAGACTGACGACAGAACACTGATTATTGTATCACCCAAGGAGGCAGATCACCTTCTCCATGGTCTTCTCAGTCTGCTCACGCGAACCAGCATTCGTCTCAAGAATCCTCGGAAACGAATTCCTATCCATTCGGATGATATGGGTGCATCGTATGAATTGCAGTTGGCAACTGAGGAAGTTGTGGAGGCTGAGCTTGTCAACTGTGTGATACAGCTGATCGGAATAGCGGATAATCTGGAGAAACACCTTGCGTAAGTATCTTTTGCCTGTTGAAGACAGCTGGGGTACAAGTGATTAACGTGTGATTATTTCTTCATGTTCACACTACATCTTGAGTGTTTCTCGCAATTTCACGCATCTGTTCGGTTGGAAACGTGTAGTGTGGTAATCACTCTTGGTCACTCCCTGAAGTGCACCGCGAATTCCAGGCCATTGTCGACTTTTCTGACACACAGTTCACAGCCAGTTGAGTGAACCACTGATGCAAAGTCGTCAAACCCAGCTCAATGTACTACGCATAGACAGCTGTAAACAATAGTTTGAGCATACATTTCTCAAGCTATTGCTTTTATCCTAATGTTCATGCGAGGATTATGACCTTGTAAGTGAAACTGGATAGAGTGCGACGAGACACTAAGCTCTGCATGTCTTCATTGAAAAGCGCGAAACAACTGGACGCTGGTCTGTTGTTTTGCTGGACTATAGCCCGTTGGTATACCTAATTTGTCCAGATGGGTCGGTCAGAAAATGAACTCGAGATAGCCCAGTTTTTAAGGCACGAAGGATCCATGGTTAGAACCCGACCCCAGCTTCTCGACTGATCCTGTCTAGGCTTGGGCAACCTGGCAGTGTCTCAGCCCTCGTACATCCTTCGGGCAACGTAACATCTGGGCACCTAAAAAATGGTACAGCCGAACGATTGATAATGCTATGATAGTGAGAGAGAGAGAGAGAGAATCGTAAGTTTGAGTCGTTGGCCGCCGCCAGGCCTCTTGTTTGTTCAATTGTAAAAGTGCCGTGGAAAACTAATGTGAAGTGAAAAACTTGCTGGGCATCGTGGAGTCTAATTGCGTTAGTTACGATTTGATTTGTTCCAATGACGTTGCTGAATAGAATCCAAAAAGTTTGAGACTATTTTTCTAACCCATTATGTCCCAACGGAGTCATGTAAAAGAGCAGCCGTCACTACCGTAATGTATTGTGCTGAGTCACTTTTTGTTGTGAGGCCAAACTGGTACACTGCGTCTCTGGATACGACACTTTCTCATTTCCCTCCAGGGAAAGTATTTTCATCCCGCAAATCTCTGAGAAAGGACAACGGAACCGAAGCATTGACGTTTGATACGTTTTCTGCAGTATATGCTCCTATTTGGATGATGTATCCTTCCCTAGGCGATTCATTTACCTTGGTCTCACTTTCCCAAGGTTGTACGCAAAGTATGTGCGTTATTAGAGTCTGTGGTCTTGTGTTCCGAACGTCATGGTAAGATTACTTTAACCAAGGGATCACTGCGAACCGTATCTTCTTGCTCTGAAAATTCCGTGGCGCATCCGCAAAAGTTGAAGACTTATCTCTGAAATGAGTTGAAATATTCAGTGTTCAAAACTATGTTCGCCGAACTAATTAAGGCTTAGATTTTTATCAATACTCACGAGACGGAACGAGTGCAATGAGTGCCGGCGCATTTTTCATGAAACTGAACCACCGCTCCAGTTGTCTGCATTTCGGTGTTACTGACGAAGAACCCATTGTTTTTAACAATATCTAAACACCTCTGCTAATTAGAGGTCGCCGCCTGTTTTTTCTGTTGCTTGGATGTTCAAGTTATCTGAAGTTGGTGCGTGGCTGAACCATACTTCCCTATGGCTTGTTGTTACCGCTGCCAGTCACTGTTGGACGATACATTGCTCTTAAACACTAACGATGGACCAAGTGTTTAGAGCGCTAATTCACTGACCGGAAGGTCCGTGGTTCGAACCCGACCTCCGCCTCTCGACTTCCCCTGTCTAGGCTTGGGCGACTTGGCAGTATCCCAGCCCTCGTGCTTCCTTCGGGCGGCACGGCGGATAGGCACCGAAATGGGCACTACAGCTGGACGATTCATTTCATTCATTTATTCATTCAACGTCCTTTTGAACATAGAATGCATACCTTTACCAGATTCTCATATCGAGTCCTTTGCATATACTGTCTTGAATGTAACGACCCACTGATACCCAAATGAACTCTTTGGAACCTCCACTGTCTTAACCCAAGCTAAAGCCTACGGTACTTCGAAGTTGTTCTCCGTCTTTCATTATTGCCTTTCCGATACCTTTGGAGGTTTCGTTCCTGTGCTTGTTTCTTTTCGTAAGCGAGGTCTTATCCTTTTTGTTCAACACCAGTCATCATACCTAGTCCTACAAGAATGGTACGTCAAACTTCCTTTTACGCTTCTTCCAGTCGCATGCTGAATTTATTTTCGCGTTTGGATTCTCGCATATGTCGGAGTCTCCTGTGCCAGGCGGTCGGTGTCGGAATTTCACGTATTCCAGCTCCATCGGACGACTTATTCCAGCGATTGTGTAAGGTGTCGAGAGAAGGGGGTGCATCTGAACACTTACGAACATACCTGAATACCTTGAGACAGTCAGACAAAGCTGTGGGCCATTTATGCGAAGACCTACTTTCCCGTGTAAGTTTTGTCTCTCACTGTATGCTCATGTATTTTTTTTTGGATTTTCGTTCGCTCATTTGCTTTGTCCGTTTTTTATTTTAGCTAAACTCATGGGACCAAAGTCGCCTGGACCAACCGGACTCGTTATGCCGTGAACACGCTTTTAGCGTTCTCATGGATTTAGTACATCTACTTGAAACTGTGGAATTACCAGAACAGACATTGTATCTACACCTTGGTGGACTTAACTGCGCCTTGCACACCTTATGCCGTGCAGACCTTCAGCTGCGAGATGCAGCTTTGGAGTACTGCCTTTCGGTTTCCAAGGCTGTCGAATCCTGTCGTGCCAAAGCCCCATCCTATCACCGCGCTCTCATCCTTGGCTGTTTGTGGCCGGGTCTCTTACGAGCTCTGCGTGACCCCCTCCTAGCTGGTCCTAAGCGCATGCACTTATTGAAACTCTTGAGCGGAATGGTTCATGTATTTCGAAAACATCCCCGCTTCGCTCCGTTGTCTCTGCTGACCGACCCCAACTCTCCCACCGCTGATTTCTTTGCCAGCCTACAAAGTGGTACCGTGACGCGGCAGTCCCAGGCTATGCGGCGGTTGGCTCTATTCCTTCGTAATCCCTTGACGATTTCCGCCAAACGTCAACTTGCTACAGTCAGAACCAGTTCCCAACTGAAAGACTCGGATTTTGTTATACCAGAACGTGATTTGTGTAACCTATTCCTGCCGTTGGTTCAGTTCTACCTTGATCCACAGATTCGCTCCTCCGTGGACAATATCTCTCTGGTTCCCGAACAGAAACGACTTCTGGAACATTGCGTGGATGCTGTAGGTGCTCTTGCAAGTCACTTCTCTTGGAACAATTACCAGAAGCTATTACGTTGTTATCTCTCCAGACTTAAGACAGCTAGTAACACATCCTTCGTTGCTCGAGTCATAACTGTCATTATTGATGCCTTCCGACCTCCTGCGTGGCCCCAGTCCACAAAGAAAGCCGTCTTGGAAGTTGAGGAAACACAAGAATCTGTCCCCCGGCCCTGTCCAGTGGGTAGTTCGGTTGACTATAACTCTGTTTTGACTTATATGCTCGAAGTTGTTAGGCTGCTTCAGCCATTTATCTCGAAACCACACCGAGCTGCTTTGGTCTCGAAAGATGCTGACAAGTCGACTTCGAAAAATTTCCGAATCTCTCTCATTGTATCACTTGTGTCCCTGTTGCGTCGTTTGCCAAGTGGTCATCTCGAATCCAGACTCCCATCGTTGATACTATCGGTGGTGAATGTATTGCGTCCTTCACCAAATATATCTCCCCAGACGCGCTCGGAAGCGGTTCGTTCTCTTACCCGAGTTGCACGTATGCTTGGTTTGGGAAAACCGTTGGACACCTTGGTTAGTGTCGTGAGTCAACAGCTAAGTCGCGGATACGCTGCACAACAGATTCGTCTGTTCACCTTACATAAAATTCTCTCTGAAATTGAATCAGCGATCATTTCGGGTGAGATTATCTTTCGACCTGGCGATCTGGACGCAGTTGGAAAGATCCTGTCCTCACACTATCTGGACGAACTAGTGGGCTCGCTGGCCGAAGAGATGGATTCGAGAAGATCCGCTGGACAGTCTCTATCTACGATTCATCCAAGCAGGTTGCACACTGATTCCGAATCATTTAGCGCAGCGAACTTAGGCGGAAGGATCGAGTTTGATTTACCCGAGGCTAGCGGCATCAAAGCACCGGATGGTCTTACTCGATTATGTCGGCTACTCTCTCCCGATGGATTACTTCACTTATTTGAAGCCATCCAGTCAGCCGTCTCTTCGGCGGCCACAGGTAAAGCACTCAAAGATGACGATGATCCTTCAGATGTCAGTGCGACCGGTTGTGGTCTGAGGTTTCGTAATCGTGCGCTCGCCAGGGTCGAAGTTGCCCTGGCTCGTCTCCCCACACGAAACGGCATGTTTACAAAGAAACAGTCTGGTACTCTTCAGCCAGAATGTCTTTTACGTTTGGCCTCTGAACTGATCGGCCGCAATATCACGCAAGTCTTGTCTAAGGATCATCCGGAAGAACAACGGAATGAAGCGGCTGCTGAACTATCAAAGAAACAGATGAGTGAGGGTTGGATGCGTCCACGATCAAAGCTTCTTGAGCCGCGGTGGAACTACCTCGACATAGAAGCTGAACCCGCTCGCGAACGGGGTCACTTGTCTCAACAGTCCGAGTTGACCCAAGCTCACCTTTTGGTGTCCTGCGGCCTTCACATTCTGGTTGGACTGCTACGTTATGGTTGGTTGAAACGGGATCAGTCGACACAAATGAATGAGCTGGCGAATTGCATTCCCCTGATCCTGGATTGTATGCGTTCCAAATATGTCCGGGTGTTGGGTGGGGCACTTCGTTGCCTGAATTTGTTGTTCATTATATGTGCAAACAAACCCTCCTCTACTGTCATTCCGAATTTTACTAGTTATTTAGATATTGCTGGCAAAAGGCTATTTGAATTGTTAACAACTCATCCGGGTATTCTGTCGACGAAAACTGCAGCGACTGACGTATATGCACAGCAGTTTGCATCCAATCTATACCGAGCGTTGGCTGCTTTGGTCCGTCATCAAGCGGGTTATACATTATCCCGGTCACAGTTGCTTACTCTTTTGAACGCCGTAGACATAGAAATAACGAAGGATTCAGCCACAGCACCTTCGCTATCATTACTTCAAGCGATTTTCCAGAGAAGGCTCCGCGATCCAAACTTACAAAAGGAGGAATTAGATTTTCTCACACTCACAGGAGATCCCGAAATGCAACAGGATGTCACAGCCGGTAAAGTTGGACTCATTGTTGCTAAGTCCACTGATCGTGATTATAGTGAGGCTAGTGGGGCCGGCGGTGGTACTCGCCTACTCGATCTCATTGAGCGACTTCAACATCTAGCCATTACGTCTACTTCGGAAAAGATACGTGCGGATGCGCGTTGTTGCCTTGTAACTTTCTTACTCAACTATCCTCACAAAGCCAAATTCGTGCAGAGCTTTGTAGCCTTCTGTTTGCGGCAGCTCGAATACAATAAGCCAACTGGTAGGTTATCTGCTGTCAGTCTTTTGACTGGGCTAGTATCCGACCTTCCGATCGGACGCCTTGTTGCTAATAGTCTGGACGAAGCGATCCTCGTCAGTGTTGGTGCTGCGATCGAGCGCGAGTCAGTACGATCTTTGCGTGTGGGCATGTTGGCTTTAATTCGTGTCCTGTTCACCCGACTCTCGCCAGAAGCCGCGGATTCTCACTTCAACGACTATCTATTGGCATTTTTGTCTGCACCTGCGGCTTCTCGTTGCTCTGCGCGCCTACTGGGTCTGCAGTTGATTTCCGCTGTTCTTGACTGTCAACATCGTCTAAGCCAAGCAAGGTATCGCCCGGTCCTTCTCAAACTTTTGGGCACAGACACTATCCCATCTGCTGCGGCACAACTATGCCAGTTCGTGTTGGGAAGTCGCAAAATCCGTGCCTCTTCGGGATTAGATCCACTGTTTGAAGGTGGTCTTACTTGTCCGGCAGATGAGGTAGCTGCAGCACAAGCGGTTGTGGAGGATGCGGAATGGGTTGCAGGATTATCTTCTGATCCGCTTCTCCCCAAATCTGACTCCGAACAGAAAACCGATGACGAAGAACCACCTGTTACTGTGGAGAATGAAGAGGAGATTGAGGCGAGTGTGGAATCAGAAGATTCTGATGTAGAACGGGAGCAAACGCACTTCGAAGCAGCTGAAGAGGACGCTCGCATCATGTGCGACCGTTTGCTGACGACGTCCCAATCCTCTACTAGGAAACTATGCAAATCAGTAAGTTCCCCACGGAATTCGTTCATCCCTATTGATGGTTTGCGTCTCAAGTCGGTTCTATCACATTTTCGAAGAAAAATCTTTATGCTTGATTGGGTAATTATTTTCTGTAGTCTTTGTTGGGGTTCCGGTCTCCCGATATCATTAGAGTTCACTCGAAATTATGCCAGTGTTTATCCATTCACTCTTCGTAGGTTTACTAGCGTAGCGAGAAGCATCGGTTCTTCACGTCGTCCCAAATTCTTCAATCTGTCTACCATTGTGACGTCATAGATTCAACAATCTTCGGTCTATGTATGGCTCCTTTTATGCACAAGGCTTTACGCCTCTGGTGACTCTTTCAAAAATCGCCCAGCTGTAACACCCTTCTAGCGTCTAGCTGTCATACTACCCAGAGGAAGCACGAGGGTTGTGATCCTGTTTCCTAAGCCTAGACAGGGGAAGTCTAGAGGTAGTGGTCGCAGTGCCATGCTTCCAGAAATCGTCTTCGTCCTCTTCTATTTCTGCATGCCAGGATTTACTGGTTTTCTAAGTCAAACATGTGGCCTTCTCGGTCGTCATGCATAGATATCAAGGGTATTCGATATGTCGAACACCGTACAACCGGAACATTAGGCGGTCTTTGTGCGGTATATTCATTTGAAGAATACTATGGACGAGTGATTCAGCTGAGCCCCCCGTTACCTCCAACACTATTTGCAAATGAGCGTATTTCACCAATTCTATGCACTCTTGGCTTCACAGTCACTTGTACAAACTTGCAGATGGGTTTGTGATGGCTTGTTTCTGGGGCCTTATATTTGCAGACGCTTTTATGTCCAGCAGCCAAAACGGAGGGTGTGATAGCATTGATGAATGATGTTATTGTTGACTCTACGTGAATGCCGCACTCACCACCCGTAAAGAGCTTCGAACATGCAGGAAAGTGCTCACCAGATTAACTATACTGCACATTAGGATAGTGAAGAAGGTAACATGTTTGCCTTCCTTGGCATACTGCTCTATCGAGAACTAACTGGGTCAGTTAATAGGAGGGTTCATCATAAACCTAGGGCAGCTGAGTACCAAACTTTCGAAAGCTTCTCTCTAGTCGATTTACATGTACACATTTTCGCGCGCCACTGTAATCTGTTCTGGTGCGTTTCAATCCACTCACCTTAGAAATTGTTGGTGCTTTTGTAGGACAGTATTCTTCCATATCCGCTTCGAAGTTCCATGTCGCCACAAACCCTTGAAAGACTGTTTACAGGTAATGATACATCGCTTGGGATACATCACCGTCAACAACAAGCTTTTCAGCATATTAAAAACGACAAGAAGATCGCCTTCAATGATGAGGATGGTCTGGCTAATCCAGCAGCCGTAAACAGCATCCACAAGTATGATTGTACGTGTGAAAGCACGTACATAGGTGAAACAGAAGGGCAGCTGCCAGTGCCCGCATCAAAGTACTTACCATACCGGCTGGTGCTGAGAAACAGCCGGCGGCTGCGAGTGTACCGTGAGTCGATAGAAGGAAATCCAGTGTTCTTAGCTTGGCTATAGGATGAACCGAATATTTCAACGTCTTAACGCACTACGCTGTACTACGATTTTCTGGAATGGGAGGAGTTCGCAAAAGCCTGTAACCACCCTACATCGCCACACCAGGCGGACTTGCAATGGATAACCAAACCTTGGAAGACAAACACGTCTGACTTGGTGAGGTTCTATCCGTGCCCTGGTATGGTATAAGGGTCCAGGTCACTTAAGTGTGCTGCAGCTACACGCGTTAGGTGCATCTTTAGCGAGTAGTTTCTTGTGCCACACGCACAGCTGACTGATTTCAGTCAAGCGGGAGAAATTATCACGTAACATATGCTCACCGGAGGCTTAGCAGTTTTCGACATTCATAATTCGCATTACGCCGCGAATGCATCAACGATTCACCGTGACACTTGTTTTTCTATTTCAGGCCGTTGAAAATCTGTATTTTCTGGTTGCTTGTACGCTTGAGCATGCACTCAAGTTAGTCTACCGTTTACTTGCTCCTGCATCAACGTCTTCTGCTGAATCGACGGACTCGGGTTTTCAGTTGTCTGTGTCGCCAGCGGTTACATCTATCTGGCAAGCCCTACTGCGTCTTTCTCCGTCTACAGGACTCGAGACCGGTAGTCTTCCTGGCGAAACCACTCACAGTAGAACAGCTCGATATTCGACCTTGTTTTCTATCGGCAAAGCACCAAAAGGATCGTCCGTTTCAGAGCTGGAGCGGCTAAGTTTATTATGCGCTGGACACCGGGAAGCACGTCACTGGTCTTCACTATGTTTAGCACTTTTACTGAGAGTAGAAGTTTCGGCAAATGAGACGCTTCTTGTAAACAAGGACGCGGATTCGGCAGAGGCTGTTGGATGTAAAACGAAATGTGCTTTCTTTCGGGAGATTCGAAAAAAACGCAAACTTCGGACATCCTTGGTAAGTGGCAAATCGACCAATAATAGGTTTGAGTATATGTGGCCATCGTTGGTCCCCAGGAGGTTAGCTTCGTAATTTCTCTATTTCAGGCTGTGGTTGCTCACTTGATCAGTTAGTCTGAGCTTCTAGAATTCCTCTCATCAGCATACCCTGTAGTCCACTTTTTAATGCATAATCGACCGGAGACTTCGGAGAAATCAGAGCAGATTTACATATGAAGACTACTTTAGACACACAGTACGGAGGTTAGTATAGCTACGTGAAACGCTCGTGATATATCGCTAGATTATGTCGTAACTGGACGGCGAAATCCCCAAGCTCAATCAGTAATATCTCACCTTAGTTTTAAGACAGCCGCATCAGCGCTTGGTGTCTAGATGATAGTCCAGATGACAATCTGCGTTTTGTACCGATTCGCTAGTCTTGCGGTGAATCTTCCCTCCACCGCAGAAGCAAAGCCAACGCAACGCGTTCATTTGATGAGCATATTCTCTATGCTATTTGATGATGAGTTTGGGGCATGTTACCAACTCCGGGATCTTGAAGCTACTTCGCCTTTCCCGCCGTGACTCGGAGACAACTGAGTTCAAAAAAGCAGAAAACGGGTCCCCAGAACTGTCCCGTTCTCCTGAACATGCGCTTTATATTCTCCTTAATTTGGGCTTCCATTTTGTGCATACGTCGGGGTCCCACAAAGGGGCATGTGCTCATGTTTACACCTTACTGGTCATTGAGGAATCACGAGTGATTGAAGTAGCCAAAATTGTGGAAAATCATTTTGAAGCGAAGCTGCCAGTTACTGGTGGTGCGATTGCTGTATTCAGCGGGACTTGGGTATGCCTTTCGGTACTTCTTTAGTTACAGTTATCCGTTTGAGATTGGGGCTAAGGGTGACCACCATCCAGTGTCGTTGTAGCAACGCCTGATTTCATCCACCACAGGTGACAATGCTGCTAAGGCTCTACAATTTTGTTGTAGTTGGTCATCTCTGTTCAAATAGCTAAATTCCGAGTCACCAGCTGCTTCAGAGTGAATCCGGAAATTGGCTTGCCTTATCTGACCTTAAGACGATTGGCACAATTCACCTGGGTGTCCATCCAAACGGTAACGTTACAATAATCCTAGGCGGAATGTGGGAAACATTTCACCAACTCACATTCCCCTTCCTTCCACCCAGAGGTCACCACTCGAGAAGCAACTAAACACGTATTTATTTGGGCTTTATTGGGGCTCTGATTTGCCCGTGTGAACAACTTTCCATCGTGACTTATCCCGCTCGTTCTTTTGCTGCAACCCTATTTATTAGGTCATGTCATAGAAGAACGACGGTCTCAGTATCACCACCACTGATCAACTTTAGTAAGGTATAACGCATAGGCAGCTTCGTAGTTGGCCTCATCTCAACCACCCTACTGCCTTTATCCATTCCTTGCTCTCCGTAGCTCCAAAGATTGATGCAAGATTGTCTATTCCAACTGGAACACGATGCGAAAGACCCGCTGCCAGAGGATTGGTCAGACTCAGTAAGTTAACCTCATTGTTCTCTCGTAGTGATACTTCTTTCACTGGCGTCGGTCAAATAAGCAGGGTTCGATGAGATTAAGCTAGTAGGATACCTACTATTCTGTCCTCTTTTACGTACATTCCAATAAATTTTACTGCACTTTTTATTCTAGCTTATTGCAAACTTGGTACAACTGGCTCAGCTACTTCACCTAGAGGTTGGTCGGAAACCTGTTTTGAAACTGTTCCGTGCGGCCAATCGTATTGCACTGGACGAGTTGAATAACCGTCCACACTGTTACGTCCAGGTAAGGATCGGTACCCACCACTATGGACTTTTTCCCATTTGGCGAAAGTAGCCATTCGGTTCCCTGACCTAAATATTGCACTCTTCTCTCCTCTTAGCGTACCTTGACACTCAAACTCATCACTACGTTATTAATGCGACTGCCCCATCCACAACCTGAGGAATTAGCAATCTTACTCAAAGGCAAACCGTCTGTCGAAACGGGACCAGCTCAGGAGCAGGAAAGTGAGGGCCTACGTGCGCCTGCTTACATAGCTTACATACGCGCTGCATCCCGTCAGCTGGCTCGTGAATTCCGGCAACGAGAACGTTTAGTCTTCATGGCCGCGTCAAGCCTTATGGTTGCTCAAGACGAAGAGGTCGGCGGTTCAGACGCTGCTCGTGCGCGTCTTGGGGGTATAAAATTGTCCAAGGAGCTATCTGCAAGAGCACGCGTGCGACGGAAGAAGACGCAAGTAAGTGATTTCTTATTGCTCTTTCGCTACAAAATTCAAAGGCAGGATTTCGCACGTGTTTGGTGGAACCTTAGCGCCAACCAATTCCGAATCACACAGGCGTCCGATATAGCAGTGCCAGCAGTAGTGTAATCGTTTCAATGAGTCCAGCATATAAACTAGAAACTGTTTCTCTGAGTCGTTTATAGATGAACGCGGTAACTTGTCCTGTATGGCCCGAAGCACTATGCCGCCACCTCCCACTTCCACTAAACGTTTGTCATTGAGACGAGACTAGATTGGTCTATTCCATAATTTTGTTAGGTACACCCATTTACCAGTGGGTCTGGAGCAAGCTACATTAAAGCCATCGCATCCTTTCGTGGCGCGACGGTGTTAGCCAGGATGCGGGAAACTTTGCACATGCGTTAACGGAGTTCTGGCAGTGGTGCCACGAGGACGTGGCCGATTCCAAGCTGACAACCGAGTCTCCAGAGTGTCACGATATGTCGTGGCGGAAGTCTCACATACCACGAGTTTAGTATAGGCTACTGGACGGCACCTGGTGCTACCGAACTGACCTTAGGCTGTTGACAGATATGGACCCTTTGATGCCCCGTGAGATGTAGTGTTGCGGGTGCGACAGACTCGATAGAGTGGGTGCATAGGGTCAACCCAAGGTCCAGCAGCCTTCTTATAGGAGTGGACACTTGGCCACAGACGCATCTAGAAAAACCTAACTCAAACTACCTCCACTGACTGATCTTTTGACAGGATTTAACGTGAATAATGTGCAATGCGTCTCACTCTATGCATTTTTGTCGTCGCATACCCTCTGACGTTTTAAACATCTAAGGAATTGGCTGTCTGGGCCGTGGAAGTTGTTGACGCGTTATCCCGTATAGGTGATTCGTCCTGACAATAGTAGTCTACCGAAGCACTTTGTCTACTGAATTATGTGGATGATCAATCAAGTGAGCATTGAAATAACTGAAGATGAACTGTTTTACCATTTAAGATTATCTAACCTCACCGATAACTCGTCCGTTTCACGCCATCCGGAACTCATCAGGTTGGCGTGATCATCGAGTTCCTCAGCTGAACATCAAGCTGTACACTTGCAAAGTGAGGGGGTGCCGACGCGATACTCAAATGAGTACCTCGTGTGCGATACTCCCTAACCGGTGTCTATTTTCATTTCTCACTTAAAGCTAAGGCAGGCAGAACAATAAGACTAATTCCCTATCTACCCAATATCCTATGTACATTTAGCGTTGTCAATCTTTCGGCAGCATTACCTTTGATTAGTATGATAAAGTTGGACCCTTACTAATTAAGCGATGATCATGACAACGGTCATCTACTCATTTACGGGGTGGATATACTGGACAACCGATGAATCGGTCAGAAAATTCGGTCCTAATTGAGTTGAAATAAATGGTGGATTGCCCCTTCGCTACTGACTGCATCCTTTGTTGTGGAAAAGGCTAGTTGCGGATCCGTTGGACAGATGCCTGGTAAACGAAACAACCTATAATTAGGCGTGGGTGGGACACGGGATAGGCCTTCACAATAACGCCGATAGTCTCTCTGGTAAGCGATAGGACGCAGATCCCTTATCGACCACCTTGTTTTATTGGTCTTCTCTGTTCATTCCACCTGAGTCCATCACCTGACTACATACCTGAAGTTTGCAAAGGATTCGAATAAAATGGATTAAAAGCTGAAGATCACATGTTCCATCGGATCATCCTACCTTTAAAACGACTGCGGCGCCCACATTTTTTAAGTTGTAGTTCACATCGAGTAGTCTTCCTATCACTTATTACCCTTGTCTCACTGAATTTGTCTTTAACCCACCGCGTTATTCTGACCTGTTTGTCACCCAATTTCCTTTACTACTCTGTAGGCCCGTCTTCGTCGGGCACTTATGTCTGGAACCATTCGGCCCGAGGCAGCCAAACATCTGGTGGCTTCTGCCGCCGCCAGTAGAGCTCATGCAGGTCCTGACCAATTAGTCAACATGATAGAAGCTACGGAACAAAGTTTGACTGAAAGCATCGGTGGGGGGAATCGACAACTAATCCAGACGGTATGCAACCAAGCCAGTTCCGTGGCAAAAGCCAAACAACAAGAACATAATATCAAAAAGGCTGCTAGGGCAGCTCTTGGCGTAAGCTGGATGCCTCCAAACAATGCTCCGACCTTTTCTGATGTCATATCCGCCAAGTCCGACACAGCGGGACGAAAACGCGCCAAGTCTTCCATGGAATTCGGTGAGTTTCTAGTTGCCTTTAAAAAGTTACCTTCGAGTTATTGGCCGTGAGTCATTAATCTGGGAACAGGCAAAATATCACAAAATCCGTTGACAAGTCTGTTTCAGAAAAACTATCAGAGCCACTGTGTTTCCTCAATCAGCACAGAGCTCAGATGCATCGACCCGTGAGAACGATATGGTAACTAAATCACCATGACCTGCGCAGCACCCTGGAACATCAAACTGGTCACTGAACGCACAAGCCCTGAAATGTCAGTAACGCCGCCAGTGATGCCCACTGATCTAGTGGCAAATGGTCCTGCGGTCGGTAACTTCCTAGGTATTCCTGTGGTTCTAGTTACTGAACGGTGCGTGGTGTCGTACCTAAAGTACATGTCGGTCAGGAGCAGAAGGTGCTGCCAACTGAACACACCGAGCTTGTGACCGCTGCTGATCAAGCGATACAATTTACAGAAAACTAACCAACCATATGCAATGTTGCGACCAATAGCTAAGCGTATAAGTTCAAAGTGATTTTTCACTATGTGAAGAGCATTCGGATTCTTCGACGCCCCGAATGGTGTCCGCTAATGCATGATCACCGAGAAGACTTCAGGGCGACGATGATTGAGTACTAGCAACTGACATGTTATCCTCGTAAGCAGTAAGGGTAGCGGTAGTCTGTTAAGTAATGCTGCGCCAGACACGATAACCCGTATCTTATAAACAAATGGTATCTAAGGGTGTTTGTATATTCCGTTCATGTGTGCTGCTATCACTAGCTCTCATTCAATTTCAGATCATGGAGAAAAACCGAAACGTCAACGAAGCAACTAAATCCTTTGCATATTTCCTCCAATGTTTTTTCTATTCTCATGGAGAAAATAAAACTTCTGTATAGCCGTCGTATTTCTGTCCATCCGTAAGCGGATTGTTCGTAAGAGAGTATAGCTACAAAAGTGGACTTACTGCTGTAACTGAACACTCATGAACAAGCTGTTTCGCCATCAGGAGTATATTCTGCGAAATCTGGTGTTCATCTTGTACGCTGAATATCTTTTCGGTCACACAAGCTAGATTGCATGGGTGGACGGATTTTAAAAAGCACCTTACCGGTGTAGTGCAAATTCCAGGAGATAACTGAACCAGTGGTCTCTTAATTAGAAACCCACTGGTCAAGTTTTGGAAAGCAAGAGCGCTATGAAACGCAATCATCTGTGCGACAATTTTAAATTGATTACGTCGAAAATAGAGAAGTCTGTCAGGACTTGCACACACTTGAAACACCTTGTTGATCATGAATAAATTCCTGATTACGTTCACCCAAGGACGCAAATGTAATCGACCCAACTGCCGCGTCAACTTCTCTGTTTAGTTATCAAACAGAAGCTCGTTATACGTATATAGAACCAATCTGACAAGATCGAGATTTTCCCATTGTGAGGTTCGACTTCATGAGATTCCCTTGGGGATCTGTACTCAACAAACATGGGCGCGATAACGAGAGCAGCATGTTGTGTCATGTTCAAAACGTAATCGTTGGGGAGAATTGTCAGCACCAAGGAGTGTACAATCGGGGGTAGCCTTTTTGGCAATTACGCTCCAGTGGCCGTACGAATTCTTTTCGCACAGCCTGACAGATACCAGTCCGGCAACGGAATTCGCTCTGATTAACCGGTGTCTGGTTCACTGCCACCCGAACGCCCACAAAAGAAATAGGAAATCGATCAGGCTCGATTGAATACCTTGTAACTGAGTGCACGTTAGTCATAGTGTTGAGCGGCCGCCCGTGGCCAAACCGCTTAGTGCACAACTAACGGCCGCAAGGTTGCAGGTTTCGAATCTTTTTGTAGATTAGTGAGACGCGCGCTCCCATGACCTTCAACAGCAAGCAAACAGCTATGCTGTGCTTCTCAGCTTTTCCGCATACATTGATCTCATTCGTAGGCTAAAATCTCGATTTAAATGGAATCATTTCCATTCCAATAGCTGAGCGATTCTAACGGATCGTGTTAGACCATAAGTTGTTGTACGCGCTCTGTCCGGTTGCAGATCGCAGCAATTTACCCCTCAGTAGCATGCTTCGGATAATTTTCGACAAACCTACTGCGTGGTTTGCCTGTGTTTGTCAGTTCGACTACAGTGGAAAGGTTTGTTAGTTTAGTTCCTGTTTGAACCGCAGTATGTGTGCGGTTGCTCGCACGGAACAGATTTAGTAGCTATTTTGAGTAAATATAGTGTCTAGCCGAAATACGGTTGCAAATCAGCTGCAAAGTCGGAGTTAACGAGGGACTCAACTGAACGTGCACAACCATGGTTGCTTTGTGTTTCAGTCAATACAATATTCGAGATATCCCAGTATAGCTTCATGAAGGTCCACTACCGGTTTCGCCCCCCTTGGAGTTCATCAGGTGGGCCGTGCCCCGCGGATTCCGTCAACCTAATCTACTTGAACACCAAGTTGTAGGAAATTTACGAAATACACTAATTTGCAAATTATGAAGGGTTGATCGAGCCGACTGAGATGTTAGGCGAGATCGTCGATACAATCCGGAGGCAAAAGCGCATTCTAATAGATTCGGCCTCAGACAGTACGCTGTCACCAAGATACGAAGGCGAAGCAAGGTTTGTAAAATGATGATTGCAACGACTGGGAAATGCTGAGTTGGCTCAAACATGACAGGAAATGCTATTTTTTCGTCGAAGCCTTTGATTGAGTCTCGAGTCGATATCTTTCGACTAGGCCGACCGGACAAATGCATCACTTCAAGGAACTTTTTCGTCCCAACGATAACTCTGAAATGACAGAACCCTAGTTGATAAATACACTTCGGGTTGTGAAAATCGAGGATGATGCGGAGGACGATACACGATCTCTGAAGGTCAAACCTTTCCCATACTTAAGCTGTCTCAGAAAAGCAACGTTTCATGGGTAGAAACTGCTAGAAATAGCAAGGGACAAGACATTCATTCGAGAAAAAATTAATACTACGTAATTCGTAGTACAACCAAGTAAAACGAATATGGCTTCCCTAGACGCGATGTCTCGTTGATGAATCAAAGGATTAAAAAAGAGCTGTCGTCGATTATTGTGATTCAAGCCCGTAAAAAGTGGTCAGTGAGCGCTCATATTCCTCCACACCAAAGTCCGTTGATGACTGCTTCAGTTTCTAGTGTATCAGTTACGTCTGACACTGAATGTGTTTGACAACGCCGTGGTGGTTATGCAAAACATCCAATATAATTCACTTGAGGTTGATATCTGTTCAGAACTGGAACGTGGATGATGTGAAGCAAAACACCTGGGCAGTGTAAGTTTTGTCGATATGGTATGGAGGATTCTCGAGCTGGAGCATATGCAACAAAGAAGAAAGGACGCCAGTTTCAGATACCTGAGGGGTTGTTCGAAGATGGTCGAGTTCTGACGATGACGTCGATGCGTTGCTAGATGTTACAGATGGAGTTACTCCATACAGTTCAACTTGGAGTCAATGGCTGCATGGCAGTAAAACTAGCAAACCTCCCGAGATAATCATGGAAACTAGGTCACACGGGGAGAAGGCTGAAACAATAACGTATTGCACAATAAGCTAGCCGTCCACGAAAAAACTCAGCCAGCAAAGCAAAACAAAGTCAGCATTGAACAAGGTTCATGAATGATAAGCCTCGTAGCACAATAGCCCGAACACTATAGGCCTTTTGTCCGTCCAATCGGTACTTGCCTAGCCGGTTGCTACCATCTTAGTCCCGAAGCACCAGCCGAATCGGTGGTTCCACGCAGCCTCTGTTATAATCACACGTTACAGCACCGTCCACTCCACCAGGTGAGCTCATGACACGGCTTAGTTCTGTCGATCGGCGTTGCTGGGCTACTCAGGCCCAGGACTAATGGGTTCAGTATGGCAACTCGAATGCTATCACAGTTGAGCAACAGTTTACTGCTCGTTATTGCTGTATTTATTGACTTATAGACCATATTGTGCGGCAGTTTGCTGTGTATGGCATCCAGGTGGAAAGTGGAAGCAACACACTACACGTTCTTGACCCAGTCAACCGTGTGCTGGCCCTGTGACCTCAAATAGGTCAATTCGACGAGTTGCACACTCATTGTGCAACCTAGCCTGACTGCAGTAATTGGGTGAAGAACACCCAACCGCTGATCCAAAGCTACAGAATCTCGACAAGCAGTTCTGAAAAAAGACCACAAGGTAATTACAATGAAGCAACCTATCAGCTATGTCTGCACATATCATGTAACTGAATGTCGTGTTAGTCCGCTTTCTCTTCATGAATATCCCTACAATATTCTTAAGCGGTAGCACCCCGAGTCACATGTCGGCAAGCAGAGGCTTCCGAATAGATGCAAAGTAATCAAAAAAGCTACATCTTCTAAAATGTCCAGTCATAAAATAATGAGTTGAAGTTGTTTTGTACCTTTAGTCAGCAAACTACGGACACGTTTTCAACCCAAAACATTACATTACATTACAAATACTTAAGGCTTGAAATGCGCCTTCGCCCGCAGCTTAATGAGTTTTCACAACCGGAAGTTGGCACAACTAACAAGCGGTATTTTCTCCAAGGCCTTAAAAATTTTGCTGCACGATTTGCTATGAGCTTCACACTTGCAAAGTGCTGCCACAAAACTGGCTGACACCAAACCCAAACACCATGCTTCCAGACCAGCCATTCGAAGTGGCAGATAAATTAGTTTGCCTAGGCAGTTGTGTAAGCAACAATGGACTGACTGAAGACAAGAGGGCTTCTCAAATCGGGAAAGCCAAGACAGATTTCGCCAACCTCCGACATTTGTGGCGCCGACGTGACGTCACTCTACCTGTCGACGGGACAGTTTACACTCGACGATGCGATCCATACTACTTTATGGATCACAAACATGGCCTCTATATACAGATGTATGAAATATCAGTGTTTGACAGTCGGTGTCTCCGAAGCACTGGTGGAACATTAGATTAGTAATGCTGAGGTACGCCAGTTGGTTTAAGAAAAACAGAACTGTCCCGCGATGGGTGATCTTCTCACGCTTCATAGATTGCGCTGGTTATGCATGCCAGAGGATCGTCTACCTCGCAGAGCTTTTTGCGCAGCCCTATGAGTAGAAGTAACCGACAGGTGGATATTCTATGAACTAGCAATGCAGCATGCAAACACTAACCAGGAAAACTCAATCAGGTTGACGGCTGCTGTCTTTTTGGATGGGGACTCCAGGACTCAACTCATTAATGGTCAGTGACACTGACAGACATGGTTCAATCACGTAGTTAGTGGCGCCCGTGCATCGAAGCGATCACCTTCAGTGCGTAGCTACCCAGTTTCCCGTTCCTCCGGAGTAATATATAAGGCGAACGACCTGATTAGGCCCTCCAATACTTGGCTACATCTCCCACTGACTGTAGCAGCTGGAACCAACGTACCCTCAGCACATAGTTTATACCTGATACACTGAAACTGTCCCGAGAAAAAATTGAGTTAAGACAGTTATCCTGATTACAAGGTATAGTTATTGTGAAGCCGACTGCAATCACCCTGTACTCATTGTTGATGACACTAAATTACTGGGCTAATTTTGTCCGAGGCTAGGTTTAGGCTCTAAAAACTGTTGGGGTAAAACTCCCCCTATTCGTAGGAATAGGTATATCGGATGCATAGAAAGAAAAGCCGTTAGATACTACCGTGGGGGGAAATTATAGGTACACTTTGTTCCTCTTCTGCTGACAGACAGCTCTTACCTTGGATATACAGTTTTGCGTGACCCCCCAAGAACAACAGTGGTCTGTGATGAGATTAACAGCTTTAAAATGGGGTTCTTGATTTCCCGACAATTCACATTTTGTCATAACAACA